TATCAGACATACTGTAATCAGGTCACCTGACTACAGTATAATTAAACGAAAGTAGAAATAATAAAAAGGTAACCAGAAAAACCCTCCACATATCTGCAAAATTTAAAGCATGCCGCTAACCTACTCAGGGACTGAAAAATAAATCTCAATGAAAATTACAGAATCCTCAGAATTAAATTTAAAAAATTACTAGACATCAAAACTTTGAATATTCAGTTAGACATGCACAGTCTTACTTGCTTATATTAGAAAAGGAGAAAGACTGAATTTTAGTAACAGAGCACACAACATGAGAAGTGAGAAAAAGAAAAAGAAATTTGGAAAGAAGGAATAAATGGAGACGAGAGTAGAAATTAGTGAAATAAGAAACAGAGCACCAATAGACAGAATCATAAACCTAAACTGCATTCTTTAAAAACAAAGCTTATAAAATAGACACGTAGCCGGGCTCGGTGGCTCAGCCTGTAATCCCGCGCCTTTGGGAGGCTGAGGTGAACGGATTGCCTGAGCCCGCGGGTTCGAGACCCGCCTGGGCAGCAAGACCTCATCTCTACAATAAATCAAGAAATCAGCCGGGCGTGGTAGCGCGCGCCTGTCATTCCGGCTACTCGGAAGGCGGAGGCGGGAGGATCGCCGGAGCCCAGCATGTCGAGGCTGCGGTGGCCGGGAGCGGCCACTGCACTCCAGTCTGGGCGACAGAGCGAGACTCCACTCAAAAAAAAAAAAAAAACATTTTTGCTTAAACATTGTTATACCTAGGCCGGCAGCATGGCTCAAGCCTGTAATCCCAGCAATTTGGGAGGCCAAGGTGAGAGGATTGCCTGCGTCCAGAGATTCAAGACCAGCCTGGGCAACTTAGCGAGACCTAGTCTCTACAATATATCAAACAATTAGCCAGGCATGGCAGCATGCACCTGTAGTTCCAGCTACTTGGAAGGCTGAGGCAGAAGGATCGCCTGAGCCCAGGAGATTAGCACTGGGGTGGCCATGAGGGTGCTGCTGCACTCCAGACTGGGCAACGGAGTGAGACTCCAACTCAAAAAAAAGAAACACTGTTATACCTCATAAAAGAAGAAAAACCACAAATTCCATCACAATTGTCATTTAGAATCATAAGAAAAAAATGATTAGAAACTTATTTCTGAAACTTGATAGCAACATAAAGCATTAGGTAATTTACAGAAGTCTGCAGGCTTTGAAATCTTATGACCCCCTAGCTTTTTTTTCCTCAACCATTTTTTAAGCTTTGTAAAACTCAGAATCAAATAAAATCCCACATTTCTTACCAAACTTCTGATTTATGGCAGGTTAACAGGCTTTCTGCAGAATGGTGTGAAGCTCTTCACAGTTTTACCGCAGAGACCAGTGGTGACTTATCCTTCAAAAGGGGAGACCGGATCCTGATCCTTGAGCATCTGGACTCCGACTGGTGCAGGGGCAGACTGCAGGACAGGGAGGGCGTCTTCCCTGCAGCATTTGTGCGGCCCTGCCCAGGTATGACAACTTCCAGGAGGAGCCCAAGCCCTTTGAAACCATTTCTGTTCCTTTTCCCTCTGGCCATGCTCAGTTTATCTGTGTACATTTTTCTTTTGTTCTCCTTTTTTCTTTCTTTCTTTCTTTTTTTTTTTTTCAGAGTCAGGGTCTCACTCTGACATCCAGGCTACAGTGCAGTGGTCTGATCATGGCTCACTGCTGCCTCGACCTCCTGTGCGTAGGAGGTCAAGTAGTTGAGACTACAAGCACACGCCACCATACCCGGCTTATTTTTTTAAACTTTTTTTGTAGAGATGAAGTCTCACTATGTTGCCCAGGCTGGTCTCAAACTCCTGGGCTCAAGCAGTCCTCCCACCTCAGCCTCCCAAATCACTGGGTTTACAGGCGTGAGCCACCACAGCCAGCTGTTTGTCTGCATTTAAGAGAGTTGATTCATCCAGTTATGCAGACTTTATTCATATACTTCACTAGAGTCATGAGGGGACAAAACTAAAATGCCTTTACTAAATAATGGCGAATTTTGTCTAATAAATCGATTTTGTTTATTTTTTTCCCTGATAAGAGAACATCCTTAATCTTTGTACAAGTTAAATAAGTTCAAGATGAATTGAAAATATTCTGTTCTGAGAGTGACAAGGGGTTTCTGAAAACGTTTGGTGTTTTTAGTCTAGCGTCTTTCTATGATCTGAATTTTTGATGTCTTCACAGCTGAGACAAAAAGTATGTCTGCCATAGCACTGAAGGGGAGGACGGCCAAAGCCTTGTATGATTTCCACGGGGAGAATGAAGATGAGCTTTCCTTCAAGGTCAGAATGTATATCTTTTCGTAACTGCATTAAGCACTATGATTCTTCTGTTGAAGGGTAGAACGTTTAGGCGGAATATTGATCGTCACCTAAGAGTGATGAGATCTCAGACGTGAACTCTAAGGGGAGAGATGGGAGAAAGTGAATAGGGAAACAGGGCTTCTTAACTTACATGAGCCTCCAGGCATGGAGGCTCTTAGAGAAAACCTCGGCTTAATAACCCCGCAATCCCCGGAGTAATCCCTTGTTCCTGGTCCATCACATCAGCTCTCAGTTTCCTCTGCATGACAGCCGGCTACTGGCATGTCTTTGAAATCGGTGGAGAAATCGGATGGCACCTCTACAATTTGCCATTGTAACCTTGCAGCTTCCTCATAAGACACGGGATTCTTGTCCACAAAGGCACTGACCAGAGCTTTGCAGGGGTTTTTTATTTGTTTGTTTTTGTTTTTTTTAGAAGACTAAAATTTAAACTTAATCTTACTTTACCAAAGAAGTGTTTTTTGCCTTATCCTCCCAACTAGGACTGCAGGCACACACCACCAGTCCTGGTTAATTTTTTTTTTTTGGTAGAAACAAGGGTCTATCTATCAGGCTGGTTACAAACTCCTGGCCTCAAGCCATCTTCCTGCCTCCACCTCCCAAAGCCCTGGGATTATATGCATTAGCCACCACGCCTGGCTAGAGTTTTTTTTTTTTTTTCCCCAGGATTTTTTTATTAGGGGATTCTGCACTGCTTTCAGTGTTGCTGGCCATTAATATTTTATTAAAGAGCCATAGAGAGTCGGGCTCAGTGGCTCAGCCTGTAATCCCGTGCCTTTGGGAGGCTGAGGTGAGTGGATTGCCTGAGCCCGCGGGTTCGAGACCCGCCTGAGCAGCAAGACTTCATCTCTACAATAAGTCAAAAAATCAGCCGGGTGTGGTAGCTCATGCCTATAATTCCGGCTACTTGGAAGGCTGAGGCGGAAGGATCGCTGGAGCCCAGCAGGTCGAGGCCGCAGTGGCTGGGAGCGGCCACTGCACTCCAGTCTGGGCGACAGAGCGAGACTCCAACTCAAAGAAAAAAAAAAAAGAGCCACAGAATGTTAGTAGGTAGAATTTATTCTTAAAAAATAGTCCAGCCAGGTACAGTGGCTCACACCTGTAATCCCAGCACTTTGGGAGGCGGACATAAGAGGATTGCCTGAACTCAAGGGGTTCAAGACCAACCTGGGCAACTTGGCGAGACCTTGTCTCTACAATAAATCAAAAAATTAGTTGGGTGTAGTGGCACATGTCTGTGGTTGCAGCTACTTGGAAGGCTGAGGCAGAAGGATTGCCTGAGCCCAACAGGTCAAGGCTGCAATGACGGTGTGCGTGCCACTGCACTCTAGCCTGGGTGACAGAGTGAGACTCTGACTCAAGAAAAAAAAAAAAAAATAGTCCTAACCCTCAGAAAACTGACCTGGTATGTAGGTATGAACCAGACCTATAAAAAATAGCTTTAGTCAAGTATTATACTATAATTTAGGGACCAGAAGGAACTTATTTAAAACAGAAACTTGGAATTACCAGAATGTTCACCAGTTTTAGCAGAGTAAATGAATGGCATCTCATAGTCAGCATGTTTTGTTTCCATTTTCCATAAAGAAAAGCCTTAAACCGTTTGCTCAGACAGTAATGTACTAGGGCTACAAATAAATCCATCTAACCTGACAAAGATCTTCTTAAAAGGAACCAGGGTCATCCTAAACCCTTGCAGAATCTTAAATGCAGATTCTAAGAAGTGGTTAGAAGCCATAAAGAACAAAATAGTCACATCTTCATCTGCTGAAGGAATTATAATTTGCACATGAATGAGACACACAGCCCCGTTGATTAACCTTATGAGGATAAATCAATGTTCCGAGTCAGGGTGAAGCTCTTTAAGACAGGAAAAAAATACAGTTTTGATATCAGGGCCATGTAGGAATGGAAGAAACCCAAGTGGTTGAGGAGAGATGCCATTATGCGTAAGAATAAATCAGAGTGCAGAATGCTTGGGGTGCTGATGAAGATGATGATGGTAAAAGTCATTCCAAGCCGGGCTTGGTGGCTCAGCCTGTAATCCCGCACCTTTGGGAGGCTGAGGTGAGTGGACTGCCTGAGCCCGCGGGCTTGAGACCCGCCTGGGTAGGCGAGCCCTCATCTCTACAATAAATCAAAAAATCAGCCGGGCGTGATGGCACGTGCCTGGAATTCCAGCTACTTGGAAGGCTGAGGCGGAAGGATCGCCGGAGCCCAGCAGGTCGAGGCTGCGGTGGCCGGGAGCGGCCACTGCACTCCAGTCTGGATGACAGAGTGAGACTCCAACTCAAAAAACAAATAAATAAATAAATAAAAGTCATTCCAAGTGGAAAAGTCCATCATGAAACACAGTGGCCTCATAGCTCATGGTTAGGAATAGAAGACCTGGGAATATTGGTTCTCCCACCGATTAGACATGTAACACTGGCAACTTGTAGAGTCTCTCTAGATTTCTGTCTCTTTTTCCTTAAAATAAAGAAATCTTTCCTAGAATGGCAGGGCTTAATGGAAAAAAATAAGGAAAAAAAAGAAAATCTATAAAAATAGATCTCCAGCCAGGCTCGGTGGCTCAGCCTGTAATCACGCTTTGGGAGGCCAAGGTGAGTGGATTGCCTGAGCCCGTGGGTTCGAGACCCGCCTGGGCAACTTGGCGAGATCTCATCTCTACAATAAATCAAAAAATTAGCCAGACATGGTTGCGTGTACCTATAGTTCCAGCTACTTGGAAGGCTGAGCAGAAGAATCGCTGGAGCCCAGCAGGTCGAGGCTGCGGTGGCCGGGAGCAGCCACTGCACTCCAGTCTGGGCGACAGAGTGAGACTTCAACTTAAAAAAAAAAGAGATCTCCAAAATGAGGATAATAATAGTACCCATCTCTAGGACTGTAGTGTTGTTTAAATGAGTTTAGTTTCTGTAAAGTACATTGAAGTAGGACAGGACATATGATAAGCCTGTGACTCACTCCCTCTGCTCTAAGTCATTGCTAAAATGTCCCCTTCAGTGAGGCCCTCCCTAGTGAGTTGGCAACCCTGTGCTTTCTGTCCTCCTCTGCCAGCATGTCTTTCTACTCTAGAGTGAAGCCTTTGTTCATTGCGCCCACAGCAGCATCTGACACATAGCGGGTACTCAATAAAGAATTGTGAGATGAAATTACACCTATGATAGCTGGTATTGTTATTTGCTAAAGAGAGATTTTAGATTAGGAGTGGTGGATTCGGAAGGCATAAAATACAAGCAGGAAAATCAAAGTGCAGCAAGACTGGTAATGGCAGAGAAATGGGCATATTGAGGCCAGGCACAGTAGCTCATACCTGTAATCCCAGCACTCTGGGAGGCCAAGGCTAGAGGACTGCTTGAGCCCAGAAGTTCAAGACCAGCCTGGGCAACATAGCAAGACCTCATCTCTACAAAAATTAAAAAATTAGCCAGGTGTGGTGGCAGGCTCCTGTATTCCCAGCTACTCAGGAGACTGACACAGGAGGATCTCTTGAGCCAAGGGATTCAAGGTTGTGGTAAGTTGTAATCATGCCACTATACTCCAGCCCAGGCAACAGAGTAAGACTGACTCAAAAAGAAAAGAAATTTTTTTTAAAAAAGAAAAGAGGCATATTGTATTGAGAAATGGTTTCTTTGAGACATGAACCTAGCCACTACTCCATCTGGCAGCTTTTGAAATAAGGTCACTTTCCTTCCATCAAAAAAAAAAGAGGCATGCAAGCAAATGGCATCATTACATATAGATCATCTCTGTGGTGTATCATTTAATCCTCTTGGCAAATCAGATAAATGAGATTATACCTGCTGCCCAGGTGGGCTCCCATGGACCATGCTTACTTACCAGAAACCAATCAGTATCCCAACTCCTGTCTCCTTCCAGGCTGGAGAGGTGATCACAGAGCTGGAGACCGTGGATGATGAGTGGATGAGCGGAGAACTCATGGGAAAGTCAGGAATATTTCCCAAAAACTACGTTCAGCTTCTACAAGTCAGCTGAAAGTGAAGCTTGACTGCGTTCCTTAGTGCAGGGACTCACTTGAACTATCACTTTGACTATCAGATATGTTTTTTGCACTATTTTTTTAACTGAAAGATAAATATCTAAGCTGTACATGGTACGCTAGAATTTTCTGAAAGCAGAAAACTTCTAGATTTTGTAGTTAGCTTTCATTACAATAGAAATGTGCATGGGGAAAACCACAAGCTAGGATTCTCCCACGGGCAGCATCTGGAGGGTGAGCGAGGCTGAGGGACAGCATCTGGCAACACGCAGCTCAGGAAGCCCACAGGCAGGAGTGGCACCTGGACACCTGTTTTAGTCAGTACATGCACATTAACTGTACTTCTTTCTTTTTTTACTTTAGTTTTAAAAGAGGGCATTTGACATCCTACATACTGTAACTGTCAGGAGATGGTTGGTCACCAGAAGTTCACTTTTGATACTCAGATTGATTCTTACATCTTGAGTGCATGAGCCCCTCTGCCAGGGCACACCCTTCCTTCCAGAGAAGAGTTTGTTGACTGGCTGACACATTTGTCAGCACGTGGTGAAATCAGCTCGTACCACCAAACGCTCCCTGTGCTACGAGTGTTCCCCTTTTGTTCAAGGATGTGAAGGGGATCAGAACTTGATATACCTTACTTAGTCAAAAGAACCAAAACCATCCCTGAAACGCCTTGCTAATACAACTAACCCTCCATATACGTGCCATACTTCTTTCTTTGCCATGTATTCTTTGTGTTAACAGGGTTATTACGAAGCACACTTTCTGAATCCACAGTCATTCCTTTGACAATTACTGGTACCTAAAGGGAAACTCATTTTCTTTGTGTTACCCCAGTAATACGTAAAAGCTGTGTCTTATTATAGTAGCACATTATGAATCACATGTGATATCGTGGAACGCAGAACAACTGTTAAGATGGAAAGCAGTGCCAGACCCCCACAGCACATTTTTGCAATATAATCAGAATGAAAAATAATTCGAGGGGACAGAAGACTGGTACTTTTTTGTTTTATTTTTTTCCCCAGCTCATCCCTGCTTAGTTGTAAGAGTAATTGAAAACTCACTTTCCTACTATCCATTGTTATACATTCTAAGCTTAAAATAAAAGTGGTTCTTCACGCCATAGAATCAGTTACAGTGTATGGGCTAGAGCCAGATAGGTTGAAGACAATCTTCCAAACAGATCAACGGAATAGAATTTCATTGGAAATGTAAAACACTTTCCCAACAATTTGCAGGACTTTCTTCTGTTTTTGAGAAGAGTTTCGTATGCTGGACCACATTTTAGTTTTCATTGTTTTTTCCCATTGAGCAAAAAGTTAGGCAGCCAGTGGCTATACCATTATGTAAATACCATGTGGAGTTTTGTAAGGAAGGCAATAAATATTTACTTTGTCTTTGACTAAATAAAGTTCACCTCCAAGTTACATGGTTACGTTTGATTTTTGGAATATGGGAATTGATTTTTCTACATGTTTTGGGTAAAGAAAAATAAGGAAAATTCTTGTCAAATTTTACTCAAGGGGCTGGGTGTGGTGGCTCTCACTCCTATAATCCCAGTACTTTGGGAGACTGAGGCAGGAGGATCGCTTGAGCCCAGGAGTTCAAGACCAGCCTGGGCAATATAGTGAGACCCCCATCTCTCTAATATATATAATTTTTTTCACTCAAAAGTAATTTCATGAGAAATGGATGACAAAGCACGATCCAAACAAAATTTTCATTTACAACAGCAGAAAGGGGGGCAGGGTATGGAATGGGACATGAGGACATTATCTTTGCCTATGTACTGTTAACATCTTATATTGAAGATTCTGAAAACCTATGTTTTTTTGTTTTTTTTTTTTTGAGTTGGAGTCTCACTCTGTCACCCAGACTGGAGTGCAGTGGCTGCTCCTGGCCACCACAGCCTCGACCTGCTGGGCTCTGGAGATCCTTCCGCCTCAGCCTTCCAAGTAGCCGGAATTACAGGCATGCGCTACCAAGCCCGGCTGATTTTTTGATATATTGTGGAGATGAGGTCTCGCTGCCTAGGCGGGTCTCGAACCCGCGGGCTCAGGCAATCCACTCACCTCAGCCTCCCAAAGGCGCGGGATTGATTACAGGCGGAGCCACCGAGCCCGGCTTGAAAACCTATCTTTATTGGAGAAAAATATTCCTCTTAAATGTTGACCTGTCAGCAAAATGATACGTGCAATAGTTATAAATCTACCTGACACTATAATAAACTGAACTTCCAATGTCCCTTTCTCATACTAGACTGAGTTTATTAAGGATGGAGATGGTATCTTAGTACTCTTTATATCTCTAGTCCTTTGTACCATTCAGGCTCAGTGAAGGTTAGTTGGTCGGTCAGTTGGTCAGTAGGATGGATGGACAATGGATGAATATATGATGGATGGATGGATGGATGGATGACTTTCACATAGCAATACCATCTTGGATTCACTCAGTATCTTTTTAATTTTTGACAAAAATCTGTATTGAAACAAAATTCACAGTTTTGTCATTACACTGTCTTGTGCTCTATTTTGTGCTTGCCATTGTTTACCCACTCAACCAACAGGAAGCAAAAATGTAATCCGTGAACTTAGGACAGCACCTTTGCATTTTGTATATTGGTGGACTCTAAGGCAAGACTCAACCATGTTTAAGGAGAAGCATAATTTTTTTTTTTTTTGAATCGGAGTCTCACTCTGTCACCCAGGCTGGAGTGTAGTGGCACACTCACAGCCACCATAGCCACGACCTGCTGGGCTCTAGTGATCCTTTCGCCTCAGCCTTTCAAGTAGCTGGAGCTACAGACGCGCACTACCACACCTGGCATTTTTAAAATTTGTTTATTGTAGAGATGAGGTCTTACCAAGTTGTCCAGGCTGGTCTCAAATTCCTGAGCCCAGGCAATCCTCTCACTTCAGCCTCCCAAAGTGATGGTATTACAAGCTTGAGCCCCTACGCCTGGGTAAGAAGCATAATTTTTTTTTTTTTGAGTTGGAGTCTCATTTGTCACCCAGACTGGGAGTGCAGTGGCCACTCCCGGCCACTGCAGCCTT